AAATACAAATTTAAGATGTGAATCCAAGCTAAATGGCAATAAACAAACAGCTGGGCTTCATAATTTAGGCTTCATAATCAAGTTAGCAAATTCTTTCTCAGCATAAAACTCCGCCCACTATTGGATTCCCTGCATAATTTCGTCCACTCAACTGAGCTTGTGCCATTGTTGCACCACCCACATCAGCATACTCCAAAAACACCTACAGGTACATACATACATACATAGGCTGCGTTAATAACTTGTACAAGGAAAAAACAAAACATCAATCAAACTCTTTATTGGGTTGCCAGCCAACAAGTCACATCTTTTAGTGCTTGTTTGGTTTCACGCTTGAAATCATAAACTTGTTTGCAACCAATCCATCTAGACACATGCTTTTCCATTAATTAATTAATAATTAATTAATGTGTATCAGAACTCAACACCATAAACCAAACACACCAAAGCAGTTTACGCATACTAAACCTTGGCTTCAAGAAACCAGCATGTATTTGGCCAAAAAACAAAAAAGGCCATCATGTAACATTAATTTTTTCTTTTTAAAAGGGGACACACACATGCACACTCAGGATCTCTTCCAGCAAAGGAAGCAGTATTGCTGCTAAGATAACTAACCGTTGACAAATAAAATATATGTAAGGACATTCAGAGGCTAGAATTAGTACTAATCAGCACCAAGGGACTATTTTAAAAGATCATGAACATACCTTCCAACTCCAGGTGGTGATGGTTCCCAATTTGGTCGGGGCCGAGGTATCACAACATTAACCAAAGTACCTGCAGATGATAAAAAGTGGTCAATTACGTACAGAGAAAAACAAAATTACTAAATTTATTCCGTCAAATCAAGTAAAATTGAAGATTATTGATGGAAGATGGAGGCTTCTGTCTTTAGTTATGTGCTAGGGCTGATGGTGATGATGTGTGAATACAATTGTAGCTGTAAAACAAATAAACAAAAAAAAAAAAAATTACTATATATGCATATAACAGCCTGCAGAATTAAAGAGAGACAAGCAAACTAAACCAGACGTTACCATATTTGGATCCCTCTCTTCTCATATCATCTTACAATATCTTCACAGTCCTTATCATCTTTCAGATCAGTAGTAGATATAGCCTGACTTATACGAACAACCTTCGTTGCCACTGATTCTGGCTGAAGCGTGAGTCTCTGAGGAATATAATAGAGATCAGTCAGTTAGAATACGATAAAACACACATACATAAAAGATATATTTGATTATAGCAGTGAATTCAATACCATCAAATACGTACCTGTAGTGCATGACTTAATCTGCCTTCTTGCTCAGGTTTTGGCGCTCGTCTAAGTATGAGCGTCTTGTCTTCAAATTTTATTCCATTTATAGCAGCACAAGCAATATCTGTTACCACAGGATCTTGATAAGCACAGAATGCATAACCCTTTGAAATTCCTGTATCTCTATCTTTCACCAATTCGAAGCCCCGAAGTGGACCAAAAGTCTCTAGAAGTGTCCTGATCTCTGCTTCTCTAAAGTAATCAGGAATACCACCCACAAATAAACGATCAGGACCATCAAGTCCATCAGCAGCAGCAGATATAGCCTGGCTTAAACTAGCAACCTTAACCTTCGTTGCCGCTAATTCTTGTGGAAACATGACTCTCTAAGGAATTTAAGAAACATCAATCAGTTAGGATATGATCAAAAAACACAAACCAAGAATATATTTGACAAGAGAATATCATCGAATACCTGTAGTGCAGGTTTTGACTGGTTTTCAGCTTGACAAGCTCGTCTAACAGTAAGAGTCTTATCTCCAGATTTTATTCCATTCAGAGCAACACAAACAATATCTGTAACTGCAGGATCTTGATATACACAGCATGCTCGAGTATCTCTATCTTTCACCAATTCAAAGCCACGAAGTGGACCAAAAGTCTCAAGAAATTCCCTGATCTGTGTTTCTGTCATGTAATCAGGTAGACCACCCACAAGTATAGCATCAGCACCATCAAGATTCTTATTGAGAGCCATTTGCATCTGATAATGAGATCTTCGTCAACCAGATCTTCTTTCAATTTGCTCACGTACGCTTCTTGACTTTAATCGCTTTCCTAACCTCTATTTATAAAGGCTAGAGGGTTGTTTTGCCTTTTGATATAAGATATTTAGAAAATCTAATAATGAGATTAGTTAAATCTTGATCTTGATAAATATATTATTTATTTAATTTCTTGAGATAATATTGGGATATTGGGATCCTGTTATTTCTCTAGTTTATTTTTGAAGATAAAGATATATTTTAAGATAATTCAATGATATAGTGACTTCTATTATTTTCTAACTCCTTTAATTTCTTTTGAATTTTCTTGAGGATAATTGATTATAGATATAAATTTTGTTTTATTTAAAAAACTCAATTTAAAGAGAATAATCTTCACAAATAGTCGTAGTCCCCTAATTTCCTCTTAAAAATTCAAGTATACACAATAATCTTTAAAGAAGATTTGACACTCCAAATTTTTTCATTGCTTGCTCTTTTTTTTGGTTATTTGTTATTTTTATTATTTTTATCTTTATTTTATCCAAATAAATAAACAAAATACGATTTTCACAATCTTCATTGTATTGTAGGAGGATTCTTACAATCCAGTGATATGAAATCATCAGTTTCTTATAATTTTGTTTCACAAAAAGTAGGGATGGAATTTGATTTTAAATCTCAATGTTGCATGTATTATCAAAGTTTTAAAAATTAGATCGATCATTGAATTGATTAAAATATTAATTCACGGTTTAATAGTTCAACCATAATCAAACCATGGTTGAACTGTTGTAATTAAATAATTATATATATAGACACACATTATATTATCTTTTATTTACATATATTAAGATATTACATAAAAATAAATAAATTTAATAATAGAAGTAAAATGAAATGTAAAAATAGTGATAAATGTTTAAAATTGTATATTAAATTTTATCTTAAAAATTGGTTATGATGTATTTTTTTAATATGCATTTTAATGGTGCTAGCGTAGCCTAATTTTATCGTTTAAGTGATTTCAATTTTCTTCTTCCAAAGCACGTTGAGAAATAAAAAACCATCTGAACCTTATTCAAGTTTCATTGGTCAAAAAAGAAAAGAAAAAAAACCTTATTCAGTAGTTTCGTGTAGAACAATTAAACCTGTTGGACTATGAAATTCCAAAAACCAAGGCTACATTCCCCTGTATTTTATTATCAAAGTTTTAAAAATCAGATCAAATATTAAATTAGTTAAGATATTGATTCATGGTGTAATAGTTCAACCGTAATCAAAACATAGTTAAGCTGTTATAATTAAATAATTATATATATGTATTATCTTTTATTTACATAAATTAAGATATTACATAAAAATAAATAAATTTAATAATAGTAATGAAAGAAATATAAATAAAAAATAATTATAAATATTTAAAATTCTATATTAATTTTTATCTTAAAAAATGGTTATAATATATATTTTTTAAGATGCATTTTAATAGTGATGGTGTAAGAGTAATTCTATCATTAAATCATGTCGATTTTCTTCTTCGAAAGCACATTGAAAAGAGAAAAAATCATCTGCACCTTCTTCAAGTTTCGTGTAGAGCAATTAAACCTGTTGGACTTTGAAATTCCAATACCAAGGGTACCGTTCTCTGTCTTTTATTATCAAAGTTTTAAAAATCATTAAAATATTGAGACATCAGTTCATTGTTCAATAAGTCAACTATAATTAATTAGTGGTGGACGGAGGGAGATTAGTAGGTGCCGTGACCTTTCCATTTTTTTTTTAATTTTTTTATATTATATAAGTGTTATATATTTTTAATTCTCTTAAAATTTATAAAAATTTTATGGTATATATTTTTAAATTTTAGTTTCCCTTATTTTTAAATTCTGACTCTGCCCCTTACCGTAATTAAACCGTAATTGAACTGTTATAATTAAATGATTATATATATGTATTATCTTTTATTTACATAAATTAAGATATTACATAAAAATAGGTAAATTTAATAATATTAATAAAAAATATAAAGAAAAAACAGTTATAAATTTTAAAATTGTATATTAATTTTTATCTTAAGAAATGGTTATAATATATTTTTTAATATTCATTTTAATAGTGTTAGTGTAAGACTAATTTATCATTAAATCATTTCAATTTTCTTCTTCCAAAGCACATTGAGAAGATTTAAAAAAAAAAAAAAAAGCGTTTGCACCTTCTTCAAGTTTCGTGCAGAGCAATTAAACCTGGTGGACTTTCAAATTCCAATACCAAGGGTACTTTCAAATGGTTGTTTTGACTTTTGAGATAAGATATTTAGAAAATCTAATAATGAGATTAGCTAAATCTTGACCTTGATTTTTTTTTTACCAGAAATCTTGATCTTGATAAAGATATTATTTACTTAATATCTTGAGATAATATTGGGATATTGAGACCTCGTTATTTCTTTAGTTTATTGGAGATGAAGATATATTTTAAGATCAGTCAATGATACAGTGATTTTTATTATTTTCCTAACTCCTTCAATTTCTTTTTCAATTTTGTAGAGGATAATTGATTATAGATATATGGATTTTGTTTCTTTTAAAAACTCAATTTCATAGGAATAATCTTCACAAATAGTCCCCTCATATCCACTTAAAAATTCAAGCATACAGATTTAAAGAAGTTTTGACCCTCTATTTTTTTTCTCATCGCTTGCTTTTTTGTTATTTATTATTTTTTATCTTTATTTTTATTTAAATAATTAAATAAACAGAATACGGTTTTCACAATTTTCATTGTCTTAAAAAAAAAATATGTTATCAAATCCCACATGAGAGTGAATTTATCTGTTAACGTATAAAAGTGAATTAGGCTGGGAGCATTGTAGGAGGATTCTTACAATTCAGTGATCTGAAAATCATTAGCTTCTTATGATTTTATGCCACAAAAATTAGGGATAGAATTGGGTTTTTTTTTTAATAAAAAGGCCATGAGAATATCGTGCAGACATGTTATGTTATGTTAGTGTACAAAAAATTCCTACATCCTAAGGGAGGAGTATCAAAGATTTGAACATTAAAATTTTCAATAGGAGCTTGATGAGTCAACCAGTCTGCGCATTTGTTTGCATCCTTATAGACATGATCAAAAGTGACTGTCTAGTCTCTCATAATGAAATCTTTGATTTTATTGATAATAACAATTAATGGGTGATTAGTAGAGAATTCGTTATGTATTAATGTAAGGGCTTCCATGGAGTTAGAATAGACATGAACTTTGTTTATCTTCTTCTTCCAACAAATGTTTAGTCCTTCCAATATTCCCAAAAGCTCAGCTCCTGTATACAGATGGTAACCAAGATATTTGGAGAATCCTTTGATCCAATTCCCATGTTCAGCTCTTATGAGCCCACCGCAGGAAGTAGCACCTTGATTATTAATTGAGCTATCGATATCAAGTCTAATCCATCCATCTTTAGGACATAACCATTTAGCATTTGTTCTATTGCCCTGTTGGTTTAAAAAATTGATTTTAGATTGAAGACATAGATCATTGAGAATATCTTGGATGCTAGTAAAAGTGATGTCTCTCTCAAGATTAAATTGGGTTTTAAATCTAGGTGTTTGATGTCATATTATTATTTGAGTCAAAGTACATTTTTTTGTGTACTAGATTAAAGTACATTTTTTTATCAATGTTAAGAAAATCGGAGCGGCCATTAAACTGGTGAAGACACAAAGTTCACATTGTAAATGGTCGCATTATGGCCTGTGATAGATCTAAATGATCATGAATAATTATATTTTAAGTAATATATGTTTAATATAAAAATAAATAAATATGTATAATAATAAAAATATGAATATTGAATTTAAACAAAAAAATATATAAAAAAATACCCACCAATATTCCATCATTTTCACACAAAAATATATTCTTAGGGTAAATGAACAAATTGATTACCTCTTTAACTTTAAGTCTAAAAGCACCATAGATCCTAAACTTATTTATTATACAAATATTTACCCAACTTTTAAAATAGTATAATTTAATCTTTGACATTAATCAAAGTTAAATTTAACCGTTAGTTGATTATAAAATAATAGAAAAGTTCATTAAAAGTTATAAAAAAATGACTAAAATTTTACTGTCCTTTTATGTAATTTTTTAGGTCATTTATTGTAGTTTTTTGAATCATTTTCTATAATTTTTGAGGTACTTTCACTTTCTTGTTAAACTAAAAGTTAAAGTTGGCTGAGCTATATTGCATTATTTTTAAAAGTTAAAGGCAAAAATTGTATAATAAATGAATTCAACATCTATGGTACTATTTGTTTTTATAAATAAAAATAAATAAATATGTATCATAATAAGCTAAAATAAACTTTTGGTCTTTTAATTTTACATAAAATTTTATTTTGATCCTTTAATTTTATAAAATATATTTTTAGTCTTTTAATCTCAAAATCTATATTTTTGTGCTAATTATTGTTCTTTTTAAAAAAATTAAACTTAATAAATTAATGTTTAAATTTTTTTAATATTTAAAATTTAAATTTAAATTTTTTTTTTTTGTGATGAAACAAACGGTATTAGAATTGAAGGATGAAAAATGGAGTTTTTAAAATTAAGAAACTAAAATAAAATTTTATGTAAAGTTAAAATATTAAAAATACTTTAGCCAATCTAATAAAAGTGAATGTTTAATTTTTAAACAAAATAATATATAATAAAAAAATCCACCAATATTCCATCATTTTCATAAAAAAAACATATATATATATATATATATATATGGTAAATGAGAAAATTACCCCTTAAATTTTATTGGACATAATTATTTATGATATTGTGTTTAGTTTGAATTTTGATAATGATAAATATATTATTAGTTGTTTTAACACACACATACACACATAATAGTTAATTATAACTATGGAATAAGGGCATTGAAGTATTTTTACATATATCTTTTCATATTATATGAGATTTGAAAATATGGTTAATATGCATAAAAGTTATTTTATCCTATTGACTATCATATTTTTTCCTATTTCATAAAATGGTTATAT